GTCTTCACTAGAGAGCAGTCTCCTTCCTGTGGTCCTCCCACTGGTCCAGATTTTGTTCCCTTTAGACACAGACATTTAAGATTCAGCCTGTTAGCTTTCAGTGCAACTTAAAAACTGCTGCTCACTAAAAAAAAATACAAAAACAAAAACACCTGAATCTAACACCATTCATCCCTGGGAGACGTACAGCTACGTGCTGGCTTACTAAATTATATGCAGAGACTTTGACTTAGACAGTTAGCTGTAGAGCTAAATATGAGTGTTATGTTTTGCATTTTGTTTTTCCAAAGTTTTACAAACTAGAGTCACACATTGGTATTTAACTCTACTCAAAGACTTGGCGTTCCACTTTAAACACCGCATCTAAAAGACAAAGCAACAACAACAAAAGCACTAGCATCACAGCCACTTAACCTACTCATGTGGAGCCATCTCTCTGACATCCCACTTGCTGTGCATGTATGCTCTTAAGTTAACTGATTCTGTCATAACACTTCACTTTAAAGTGTTACACACAAGAAGCCCGCAGGCCCTTCTCAGCAGGGTGGCTCTCCTTCCCATCCCACAACCCACTTGTCTCATTTGTTAATTCTGTCACTTACACTACAAAGCCACAGTCAAGGTACTGCTAATGTGTGCAGCTTATTTTAAAGTAACTGAAAGTTCACATCACAATGTGCCTCTGTAGTGAAAGCACTGGCCATATCCATATTTTTTTGACTGAATATCAAATATCTAAAGTAAAGTAGATTAAAATTTGTCTGAAAGTACAGTTTGTGCTATAGAAAACAAACTTGAACTCAGTTTTGTTTTTAATGCCATTTTTTAAAGAAAGCTGAAGGTGTACCAGGATTCCAGTGCCTCTTATGTACTACAGATGAACAACTTTTATTTTCCCTCATTATGGTGTTGAAAACCTGCATGATTAGTGTTGCTACACAGGAAGAGGGTCCTGGGAGAGGCACTTCTGTGTGGTTTCTGTGGGTTTTTCTGAATGACTGAAAAATAAGCTGGAAAAAACTCTTTCAGAGAATAGATTCTATATTTTGAGGAGTCTACTTCCTGGTTTAAGGGGAAGGGGGAAAAAAAAAAAAGTCCTCACGGTGCCACAGAGCTGGAGGCGGATTCGGGTTTTCTGCTGGGGCTCAGACACAGGGTGGCACTCCAAGTCCCAGAACTGGGCATAGTCCCCTCTGTCCCTGGGCAGAAAAGTGATGGGCACCTAAAAAGATAACAAAAAAACCATTGTAGGACGCAACTGCATTTTATTTAACCTCATAAAAACATCTTACTACAGAGTTATGCTTCTAGATGGAAAGTATAAACTTCTTAAATTCACCTTGAGTGTTTGATTTAACCAAACATTTAAAACTCACAGATGTGATACATAACAGAGTAACATAGAAACATCATTTTGAGTGAGTCACTTGACTAAAAAGAGAATTCCAATGTTAACAGTAAAACTAATTGCACATGAAAACTGCATTTCGTGAAAGGAACAATAAAATTAATGAAAGTTTTAATAGAACACCGATTTAAAAATGTAAAAACAATAAAATTAGATTTTATAGGTTTTATGATTGGCCATTAGATTTTTTTTTTTTAATTAAAAAGGATCCTTTTCCCTGTGAAAAGCATTTGCTGGAAATCTTTGTCCCTTTATAATGACCTACTTTAAATATTACTGGCAAGTCTACTGCGAGTACCTACCTGCATCTTCTCATGGGCTCCCAGGGTTCCAGAAACCCTGGAGCATCTGAAAGCCGTGTAGGTGGCCCGGTAAACGTCTCCGCTGTTGTCAACCCCCTGAAGAGAGAGAGAGAGAACCACAGTTTGTAACAACGTAAGCTTGGATCAAAGCAGCCAATAGCATTTAAGTATTAGAAACATAATACATAAATCAAGGGTGCGAACAAGTACAAAGTAATTACTAAGGTAGTTCATGAAACAAAACTGATCTCGCAACACTCACATACAAAAGTAACTTCAAAATAAACTACAAAGCCGTAAAAGCAGAGATCTCCCAAGAGATATTCAAGAGGAGCAGGAGAAAACAGCTAATAGAAGAAAGAAGGGAGGAGAAAAAAAGCACCTTGACATATGGAGGAGCAAATGATGACAGGTACCACCTCACTTCCACGTTCCCATTCTGCACCTCCAGCTGGGCCTCTGAAGTACAGGAGCAACATAGAGACGTTCAGTCTCCCACAGGAATAGATGCATCACGTGCTACCTACAGACCACGACTAAAAACTGACAGCCTGGAAAGGATTTCATGTTTAAACTGAAAGATAATTGTTGTAAAACTGTTCAGACACGAGCACAATGTAGAGCTTTAATGTTGGACAGCAAGTTACTTCCAGCGGTAAGCCATGTTCCTACCTGATGTCTCCCCTGAGGGTGTGGTGGGGAAGACTATGGTCTTGTTGTTGATCTCTACCATGGCCTGAGGCATCTGTGGGGTAAGCGATGGCCTTGTGGTGAGCCTGCCCACAGGCAACAAGGGGGTAGCAGCCTGAGGAGGCAGGGCTGACAAACTTGTATCTGCTGGGGCTGTAGACACATCCAGAGCAAGGTCTCGACGGATCTGAACCTTAATAAACTGAAACCAGCTCAGATTTAGCTCATGTCAGTTTCTCACAGTCTGAGTCAGTGTTGTTTGGAAAAAGAAACGTTGCTAATATCCCATACCTTCTGTTGACCATCACACTGGACATAAATCTGTCCACTCCAGGGAAGCAGGGAAGATTTAGTTGCCAATGACGGGTTTGGGCTGATCAAGATCTGCAGGTGGCACCTTGGTTTATGATAATGACAAAATTAGACGCAAACATAACATTCAGCAGATTTATGCACACATTAAATTAGGATTCGCTTGTCTGTTGTCCTTCTAGAGCCACTGTAATGGCAAAAGTTATGGAATCAGACATGTAAAAGGGTTACCGCATTCAAATCTGGCCCATCTCCCTTTAAAAATCGAAAAAAGAAAAAAATTATTTCCTCCAGTGTATGAACACAGTAATCCTTCAGCTTGATTTTCGGTTGCAAGGACAAAAATCTAGTGATAGTGCAGGAGGTGTGCATGTTTTTTGTTTTTTTTACCCAGGAAAAAACTCATTTTCAATGTGCTCTATAGTGAAACAGGATGACACAAGCCACAGTTCTGCAGAGACCATCCGCCCTGAGGGATGAAATCAAGGTGCATGCTAACAGAAAATGCTGAAGGTCATATCCTGAGAAGCAGCTCCCATCATCATTCAGGATGGTTTCAAAGAAAAGTCAATATTGCCTTTTTACTCTACACATCAACCTTATGTCACACAGAGAGAAATGCTTCAGAACAGGAGTGAATGAAGCCAGACATTGTTGGGAAGATGATCTTGTAGAAAAAGGTCAACAAATTTTAAACCAGGTACAGTTTTTTTAAAGGCTGATTTGTAGAATATTTTGATTACACCTCATATTACATCTGTGAAAAAAATCCACTGGACCTCATGCTAAAGTGTTCCAAATATTCAGTGGATGCGTAACGTGATGTAATCACATCAAGTGTGAGAAATGCAGAAAAAAAAAGAGAATACAGAGAACTTGTAACCCAAAACTCTTGACTCAAGGGTATTCTTACTGTGGCTCGATAACTCCATGCTGTGGGGTGATCGTGAGGCAGTGGGCAGGCCAGGACAAATCAAAGCTCAGCTCTCTCGAAGTATTGTTTCGGATCTGAACGTGACTGGTGGTGGATACACCATCTAAAAACAACAACAACAACAACAACAACAAAAATTCACTGGTTGCTCCAGCCAAACTAACACCCAAGCTTGCTTAGTACTCTTGAAATCTGTATTCAACTCACTGATGGTGGGAGCTGCAAGGACGAGCTGTTCTGGGTGAATAGTCCAGGACTCGGACTGTTTGTGTAATTGCTCTGAAGCCTGAAGAGGGTAAAAAGAAGATAATCTACATTCAAAAATGATACATTTTTCACATGAAATAGAGTGAAGCAAAGATCTAAATCTCAGTCAGCTTAAAAAGCCCCAAAGTAATCAATAGTCATTGAAAGAAACCATTAAAGTTGATTAAGAAGGGCTTACAGTACCTTTAAGGAAGGCTCTGCCACTCTCAGTGCTGGACCCTGGGGACCTTTCACTGGCAGCACATCCAGAGACACATTGCCATTTGAAGACCCACTGGGAATCACACAAGACCATTAAACTGTGCATTCTTATCAATGCAGAGATATCAAAGAGCAGGAATACACAAAGACGATTGATAATGTTGCATCATAATTTTGAATGCGTTTACTAATCTAAAACCCAATAAAATGAGTACGCTGTATGTTGAGCAACGGTCTTGTGTTTTCTAACATGTACTTGGATCCCCATATTGGTGATCGCACTGCTATTAAGATGGAACAGACCCGTGTATATTCCAGCAGGTTACCTGTCTGTCTCTGAGCTGGACTTTGCAGACGGTAGCAGCAGAGCATGCTCGCTCTCCTCAAAGTCTGTATTCTTAGTACTTCCGAGCAACGACACCACCACCTTACTCATGTTGCCGTAGAAGATGTGGGCTTCATTGGGCCGCTGGGGCAGGTCACAGGCTACACGGGAGGGAAATCATTCGTCAAATTTTAAGCAGTGAATTAGATGTAAAGATGTTCAGAATCAAAATATGAATCTCTGCTGCCTTAAATTTTATGTTCATGTTCTCTTAGGCTTTATTCAGCCATGCAACTTTGTCCTCGGCTGAGTGATTTCTGCTAAACAGTCTTTGCTCAACTTGTCCCAAAGCTTCAGAACAAAATCTGACATTTCCAAAGCATATCTGGGAATAAGTTGTTACCTTTTAACTTTCTCATCACTGCTAAAAAAAGAAAAAACACCAGTGGTACTCTTCAGCCTCCTAGTAGATACACTTATGGTATGATTTGAAGCTCCTACATCTGCTCGTTCCAGTCACAAACTTGGGTGTCCATGCCACCTGCCCAACATCCCGCAGTCTTTTAAAAGCTGGTAACAAGGATGTCGTTTTGTGCAATTTTTCTTAATGTCAATATGTAGACATTCTACTACGTCCAAACTAGTAGTTTTTGGTTTTTTTAAATAAAAAGGGAAAAGGCTGTTTATTTCTATGTGAGACACTTAAGTTAAATTAACAATTAAAAATTAACAACGCAGTAAAATGGAACATGAAATGTGCAGGTTATTACCATCATCTATGGAAAGTTTTCAACTGCTTTAACCTTGAGATCAGAAAGGAATTCCCCTCCCCGGCATGGCGTCTTACCCTCTGCAACATATTCTTCTCCCAAGAACTTCTCATTAAAATCGATGTTTTTCAGCAGACTGTTGTCAGACAGGGCCTTCCGTGCAACTTCCGGCTTGCTCTGAAGCAACCTGAAAGAAAAAATTTTTAAAAAGATGCACAGGACTGAAAAAGTCCTGCCAAAAGCATCTGGAAAAGGCTCTGTAAACATTTTAACGATTCAGAAACGATTTACGGCTTTGTTTGTGCACAAGCGTCATCATTACTACATCATTACTACAAGGATAGAAGAAGAAGAAACAAAGATGGACACTTAAAAAAATAACTTTAATTGGCCCCCTTTGGACTTTACGGTAGAAAATAAAAACTTTAAGGAATTACTGATGCAACAATTTCAGTTACTCTTCATTGCTCTTATTGCAGCATTTGTAAAATCAGTTTACAGGGCCACATAATTTTTTTCTGAACCTAATACAATCTCATACAGTGATAAAGTTAATCTATTTAAGTACTGCTCTGGCTATTACTGAACAGAACAGAAGGCCATTTTAATGCTGATGTAAAGTGACACAGATAAAATCCCTTCCTTCCACAGAGATCCATATTATTTGAAGCCATCTTTACTACAAGAGAGCTTCAACTTCTCCTAATGATCGTTTAGATTTAATTAAATCACTATCAATTTGAATCCTGTGAACTATTACCATTAACACTTCAACAACCCAACTAGAAAACGAAATGCTGGAAGGTCTCACCTCCTGTACTGCTGTCTGGAGACCTCATCTCCACAGAATAGGTAGATTGTAGCCAGCAGTGCACTGGCTAACTGACAGAGGTTCTGTTCTCTTTGGGTGGACTTCATCAGCACAGTGATCACCTGAAAATTCAGATTGATAACAAGTTCAAGTATACACAGAGAAAAATCAACACAAAAACAAAAACTCTTACCTCTTGGGTTCTTTCCTTCAGTACAAACTGTGAAGGCGCGAGGCTGATGACTGAGGGCTCCATGAGTGATCGTGTTTGCACGTCAGAGAAGGCCACAGCTTTGATGAAAGCAGCTCTGGAGCCTGTGTTCCTCACACACAGACACACTTTGCTCACGCAGCCAACAGCGATGTCGGTCAGTGTCGCCACGTAGCCATCTGCACGTTTCCTCTGGTCTTCTAGAATGATGTTGCTGGTGCCGCCATAACCCGACAGTGGAATCTAAGGATCAGAGACACGGGAATGAAATTAATCACAGAT